TGGGTATTTGGAGGTGACCTTATTCTTCCTGCCCTTTTTTTGTTTGGTCTAAATGAGTGCGTGTGTCTGTTTTTGGAGTTAGTACCCCGTTGTTGATGGGTTCGGAAAAAAAGGAACAGCACAAAGTGGACCTGCCTTCTGGTTGGGGCAGGGGCAAAGGTGGACGGCCACGAATCAAAGATCTGGTCTAATCACCCTCCCAGCCACTAAAACAAAGCCCTGTAACCAGTCTCCCAGGACACCACCACCCCGCGTCAGGCTACAGTTTAGTTGGTGAGGATGTCTTGACGCACGCACCCGAAAATTATCAAACCACGAGGAGGGAGGAGCCTTCATCATAGGCTAGGTCGCAAAAGCCAAAACCCTCACAACAATCTTCCGCGACCAAAAGCCCCCCGCCGTCCTTCTGCACGGCTTCCATCACTGCTTCCTGTCATGGGTCGCGCAAACAAGGAAATACATCTGGAGGCCAATCTATACATCCCCAAAACCGCACCCCGGTGAATTCACAAGAACCCTGGCTGGAATCCACCAATAAGCCAGGAACAGGTAGGCCTTTGGGCAAAACATGGCGGGCAAAAAATGATTTGAGCTGCAGGCCGAACCTCGAATGAACAACCGCGAATAGTCATACTGGACCGTTGAGAGTCATGAACTTCCCATGCACTTGGGTGCTCGACTCAATAAAACACCAATTTCCAGTGGCGATAGATTCCCAAACAAAAACCAACGGGGGAAAATCAACCAACCTTCACTTCAGCAAATGCAAGTCAGTGCTTGGGTGATCGATTCGCCAAGTGAATAAGTGGTCAGTGACCTGGGTGATAACCCACTTACCTCGGTTGCTTTCTGCTCCCCTGCTCAAAGTTTAACTTTTAGTGGTTTAGTGGAAAACCCATTAGTTGGCAAAAAGTTAAAGTCCTAACAGCCAAGCAAAATGCACCACAGTTACAACCGGCCCAACTCACTGGGTGTATAGGTTAGTTTTCAGGTGGCGATCACTACTTGCTAACTGGCGAATCGAACATCCCAAGGGTGCCAAAAGAGGACTAGAGCGCTGAAAGAGCACCAACAGAGTACACAAAAGAATGTAGAATTCACCATAGGCTCATTACAGGTTTCTAGAGCAGTTGCCCCTTTTGAATCAACCAACTCCAAGGTGCAAGTTCTATCAGCAATAAGAACCCAAACTTTGCGGGGGTTCTCTCCCAGTAAATGGGTCTGTCAGAAACCAAGCAAAAGCAGCACAGGAGCGGTCCTTGGGTGATCGAAACAAGCCAAGTCTTGGTAAGTTGTATCAGTAACCGTTCGGTTTCATGTCCCACGTAGAAGTCCCCCGTGAATGTGGGGTTCACCTTGTTATTTGACTCGAAGATTCAAGTAGGGAAACCCATAAATATAAGGAACTCCAAAACGCGGTGGAATCTGTTGCTTCCCCTCAGGTACCCCCAATAGTAGCGAGCTTCAAGCGTCACAGCTCGCGCCTGGCCAACTCCGCTTTTCGCCTCAGGCAGGGATGCCCGACTGCTGCGGTTCCATCGCAAGGTCAAAGGCTTAAGTGAAAAAGGGCAGCAACAGGTGCATCTCCTCCAAATACCCGCTATTTTGAGGGTGAGTCATTTTACGAAGAAAGAAGGAAAGGTAGCTCATGGGAGGGGCTGACCATATATATATATATATATACAATATATATATATATACATTGAAGAACCTGGCTTTCCAAGCCTGGTTTGGCTTCTTAGTCAGGGTTGCAAAGGAAGGCCGATGTTCTTCTCGAACTCCCGGTGTCTGGACCCACCATTTCTGCAGGAAACGCGGCTTCTTCATTCAAAAACAGCTTCTCACTGCAACAGGGATTCCAGAGCTCCGAATAGTCAACGCGAGCCCTCTAAAAATCCTCCTTGCATACGCGGCTAAGACCTGCAAGCCTGCAAGCGGACCACTTGCTTCCGTAATGGGGTCCAATCAAATACTCTCACTTCCGATCGAGTGGATTCAGGGGGGTCTTTTTGCCACTTTTTGTGAGAAAATTGGTGACCCCCGCAAAAAGGAATCCTTCACTACAAGGGGGTCCATCATTTTTCCACCCTGTGGCAAAAACACGCCCCGTGGATTGCTCGGAACAAGTCTGACACAGGAACTCAGGTTGAGAGCTTCCCCGTTTTTGACGCCAGACGCCTCCAAGCCATCGCCCTTCGCGTCCTTGACGCAGAACCCACTCCCGACGCACAGACCGGGGACCCTAGCTGATGCTTGGAGCTCGCGCAGACGGTCCTGGCGCTGCGAGCCTTTTCAATCGAAACTCCTCAAACAAAATATCTTCGGGGGGGCCTTTTTTCACCAATACAAAAAAAAACATACCAAACTGTGGGTGAAACTCCCAAACACATAAAGCATGCTGAGGTTGTTTATTTCTTCTTCTTTTTTTTAAACTAAGAAACCCAAAGCTGTGGGGTTCCTAGAACCACACGATGCATTCAGGAGTTCCTGATGTGTTTCCTCCGGAGGCTTCCTTGATCCTACGGACATCTTTTAGATACCGGTATGTGAAAAGAAAAACATGGGGGGTCAAACCTGAGTAACATGGGCGACGTCTAAAGTTGGGGGCCCGTGGCTTCCCGCTTTTGTTCCGCATGAAAAACCTCAAAACAGTTATCAACCAAAGACGAGCCGCCCACATCCAGTCTAAAGCGTGATCGCAACACCTGACTTTAGGCCCCCACAGTGGCCAACCGGTTGTCCTTTTGGTGCTCCTTAACCACAAAGGGGTAAGCCTCAAGAAGTGACGCAGCCAAGCAAAAGTCGGTCAACAAAATTCGAAGTCAGAACAGGGTGAAAGTAGATGCCACAATTCCGGGAAGGACGTGCGCTGACGATCAGCCCAACTGGCGGAAATTCTAACACCTGGGTCCGGATGGACAAGATTCATTTCGCACCACTTTTCAGAAACTCTGGTTTCTGATGATTCCCTTGCAAGCACCAACAAACGTTATGGTTTCAACCATGGTTTCTTAGGTGTTGCAGTGCTGGAATTTCCAACCATCCACAGTCTCAGTTGTTCAGTGACCCTGGAAAAAAAAGGAACCCTTTTTTGGGAAAGACCATTTTTAGTGGGGCAGCCACCAAAAAAAAAGGTTGGAAAAAGAATCGGTGCCACTGAACAACTGAGCAGTACACCACCCCATCTTGCGGGCTTCTTTGAACCCAAAACCATCGGATTCGACGGACCAAACAACTGTGCATCTCGGGCGATGTTCTCGAATCAAAACACCTTCCCTTTTGGGAACCCCAATGTTGTATCCAAAAAAGAGCACCCGTTTGAGAAGGAATGGGTGGTTGGACCCCTCCAAAAATGGCTTCCGGTTTCCTTTTGGTTTCCCTTTAACCGCTACAAATGGGTACCCTCAAACAAAGACAGACACATATGACCATTGTCATACAAACGGCTTCAGCTATCCAAAAAATTGAACATGGCTATTGCTTCTATTCCTGAGCCGTTCAAAACCGGTTGGCCAATCCAAACCCTCAATTCCTACTTGGCTGTTCTGCCAAGCTAGCAAGTGGCTTGCCATGTGGGGTATAACCCCCTAACAACAAGGTTAACCCCACTGAACGGGGGGACTTACATGTGGGTCACAACCTATGTTAATCGAGCACCCAAGTAGCCCTAATCGTAGCCAAGGAAAGGATGACGGCCTTTCAACATCCCTGTAACATGGTTTTGTGTTCCTGCTGCTTTCCCCTTCCAGTAACACCATTTCTTTTGGCACTCAAAAAAAGGGGACACGGCCGTATGGAACCCAAACCACTAAGCCACTTCGTGGGTTGGCCCAGAAAAAAGAGAGAGAGAGAGAGAGCAGTCTAAACTTCTTGTTTGCCACTACTGTGGATGGACGAAATCCATTTCGCACCACCGTTCAGAAACTCTGGAATGATGAGATTCGCCTGTAAATACCAACAATCAATGGTTTCCCATAGTGTCAAAGTGGTGCAGGATTTTGTCCATACACAGTATCATGGAGTCCAACCCCCAAACCATATATGAGTGATATCACAGCCCCGGGTGCCCTCCGGAACCCTCCCTGAAAGCTTCCCGAAACCACGGCAAGTTCTCGCCCTTTCTGGGCGGAGACCCCACGGCTTGCGCAGTTGGGATTTTCGACTCAAGTCCGCAACCTGAACTTGCGGAGTCAGCCTCTCCCAGCGTAAAATCGTTTCAAACGAGTCATATGAAGCAACTCAAAGGCAACTGCGAACCGTGGCTAGGGCAACAGTCTGTTTACCAAGTGGTCCAAACCAAACAACTAGAAGTATAACATACATGGGCTAAAGAACATGAACACACAGGGATTTGAAGGTATGTCAAGCAACTCATGACATAGGGTGATCATGTTTGTAATCATTTAGCGGGTTCCTTCAGGAGGAACAAAAAGGGGAACAAAAGGACTTGGTCCAAATTTGGTGGTCCATGATAGGTGCAAGCCAATTTTGATGCAAATTCAAATGGGTGCAAACCTAAAAGTGACTAAGTCAAGGCACTCCCCGGGAGTGAGAAATTAGATCTTGAACCCCCACACAGCCTCAATGCCCCCCCGGTCTCTTTGAATTCCCTGGAAAACCACCCCCAACCAGAATGCACATCGAAAAATGACACTCACATGACGTCCCCCAAATAGGCCTTGTTTCTGGCCAAAGACACGTGGGTCGTGTTTTTCCGCGTGGCCCTGTCCTCTCTGGCACATGCAAAGCTGCACAAAGCAAATTACACGAATTCTCGAGTCACAAAGGTGCCATTTGGAGTAGGTGGTAGACTTCCATTTGCTTAAGTCCACTGGACAAATATGTTCACATATTTCGAGTAGTGATACATTGTTTCTAAAACCAACACAGAACCCGAGACCCTAAGTATGAGGGGATTCCTTGAACCCCCAAAGGCCTCAAATAATGAGGTCTTGGGCCCGGAAAATTGCATATATATATATATATATCTATATTCTAAAGCAAATGGAACCAGTTCTCTCTGCCCCTTGTGCCCAGCACCGATTTCTCGGCATGCGGCTTGTCTTCACTTCCGCGGCTCCTGCGAGTCGAGAGGAGACTCTGGTTGAGATGAAATTCTATCGGTACCTTCCATTCCCATTCTTTCCAGGGATCCTTCTTTCTAGAAAACCTCCGTAAACTCCGGGAAAACGGCTGGTTGAAAAGAACGATGGTTGAACAGAATGGAATCGGAATCAACCCCGAAAGAAATCCTCTCCTCAGGCCCAATACGAAGTGGACTGGCCCAAAACGCAACCAACCTTGTTGTGAAGCGCCACTAAAATGGCAACCAACCCCCCGCATGAGATACTCAATTTCCGACCTGTCCGTGGCCATGGGCAAAAACCAAAACAGGGGGAACAAGCCGCAAGGTCCGAAACGAAACTCAGGCGACTCGGAGACTCCTCTCTTAGAATATAGGGCTGTCTCAAGATCGTGAACGGACCAAATGAGTGGTGTCCATTTGAGGATTCTGCGATTCCTTCGGTTGTGACATGTCAACTGTTGATCCACTGCTGCCACCATGGCCCTAGACAGAGGGGCCCCTTTGTCCGCTCGACACCGAGCCAGCGCCAGTGGGCGCGTGGACATTCGATCTCAGCGCAAGGGTGTGCTTTGGCTGCTGCGAGCCTCCTTGACCCCCGGTCATTGCATTGGTAGCGGAGCACGGTTACACGATCCGGGAGTCCGAGGAACACCCGCACTTCGCCTTCGGCTCGTGCCCCGACCTTGAGGGTGGCAACCTGGTTTTGACTGAGGTGTAGATCTCCGTCGGGCACCGACGTTGAGGACCATCCTGGTCATATTGGACACCTCAAGGATCTCCTGCACTACAACATCAAGATCTCCCCACACCTGAACTCCCTCTACGGCAACCTCCTGGAACACATCAACTACCAGGCCACGAGAACACCATCTACGGCAACCTCCAGCTCAACCTCAACATCAACACGATGTCAGACAAGGAAGGCCACATCCCACAATGGGATGGATCTGCACGGACATGGAGACGGTATACTCGTGAAGTCGCCTGGTGGGTGATGAGCGTCCCCTTGGACAAGCGGCGCTACTGTGCGACCAAATTGGTGAGTCGATTGACGGGCCCAGCACGGCTCCTAGCCATGTCCTGGCCTCTACAACTGTTTGACTCACCAGATGGTACGCGAGATCTTCTCAGACGTCTGGCCGGCTCTCCTCTGGTCAGACAGAGCCTTCCCAACACGGCAGCCATCTGCGCCCAGTACTTCGCCTTCAAGCGGCTGCCCCAGGAGAGCATGAGTGCCTTCCTCATCCGCGAGACCCTCGGCTACGCGGAGTTCACCGAAGCCTTGGTTCGTCTGTTCGAGGAACGCAAGGGCATCAAGCAGGAGGACAAGGACTTCGGCATCCCCAGTGGTTCACCTGAGCCCTTCGCACAAGAAGATGATCAAGATCAAGATGAGCATGAATCCGTCCCTGACGAAGCTACCACGCCACCAAGAACAAGGGCAACGGACGCCTCTCAGGATGGCAGCTCCCCTGATGCTGCTTCCCCAGGCAGATCTTCTAGACCTGGCAGCAAAGGCAAGGGCAAGGACATCCCTCATGCGCAACCTCAACTGGACATCACTCAGGTGGATGTCATTGACGAGATGTCCCTTGTACAGGCTGCCAGCTTGACCAGTGAAGAAAAACGTGATATCCTCAGCACCACCCAAAACAGCATGAACTACGACTCCATCAGTCGAGCACTGCAAATGCTGTGGGACGATCAACTTCTTGGACAACGCCAACCTCACGCTGTACAGCATCATCTACATGTTCAAGAACAAGAACCTGGCCCTCGACCTGATCCATGGCACGATCACTATGCCAGTGTCCAGTGGTGGGATCAGGATTGGCACCAACACTGGACTGCCGAAGACCAGAACCCCTAAAAACAAAAAACAACGACTCCGAGCCGAAGGACACCAGTCCTGCCTCCCCCCATCTCGATCCGGCTGAGGAGTCAAAGCTCAAGGAAGCACATCAAGCTGAACAGCTTGCGGAACAAATTGCCCAAGAAGCAAGTCGTACCTGGGCTGAAGCCAAACGAGCCACGGCCGCAATACACCGTGACAGGGGCTTCGGCAAGGGCAACTCCGGGAAATGCTACAACTGTGGCGGCGCTCACTTCATCCGCCAATGTCCCGACCTTCGGCATGCACCACATCCCAAGGGATCCTCCGGCAAAAAGGGCAACTCTCAGTTCATGGTTGACCCTTACTACGACGACTTCTACCAGCACAAGGGCTCCAAGAAGGGCAAGTCCAAGGGCAAGAACACCTACTCCATGGACTATGATTACGACGCCATGTACTTCAAGGGCAAATCCAAGCACTCAGGATCTGGCAAAGGTTATGGCGCGACCCCTTCGCGAAGTTTTGTCAACTCCTACACGGCCGAGTTCTGCGGCCTGGACATGGACCTCCACGGTGGTGAATGTATGCCTGCCACCATGCCATCCACCAGTGGTGATTTTGAAGGCATGGTGGACTGTGGGGCCACAGCATGCTGGAGAACTCCATGCAGATGGTCACCCCGCTAGTGAAGCAATTCTGTCTGTGCCATCAGATGTACCTCAAGATGGTCCAGAACATCGAGCTTGGTCTGCCAAGCTACACCACTTCCACAAGGCCGCTGGGCATCCCACCAACCGCAACCTTGTGCACCTACTTCGAGATGCTCGGCTACCCGAATGGAAGATTCAAATGGCCCGCGACTTCAAGTGTGCTTCGTGTGATGCTCTTCGACCTGGCGGATCCTCTTCCGGAAGTATACCACCGGCATCCACGCATCCACTGTATCGCGCCTGGCAAGCTATTGGCGTCGACGTGACCGAGTGGGTGATACCCAATAGCAAGCTGAAGCTCAAATTCATGCTGATCATGGACCTGGCCACACGTCTCCGAGCTGTGCATGTCATCAAGTGCTACGATGTCCTCAAAATGCAGAGCGAAAGCTCAGCAGACATCATCAAGGGTCTAGCTGAACGGTGGCTGGCCGACAAACCACGGCCAGAAGTCGTCATCCCTGACAACGGCATCACCCTGGTCTCTCGGGACGTGAGCGACTTCCTGTCCGACATCGGTGTACAACTTGCACCTCCTGCGGAAAAGGAAAGCTGGGCACATGGCCAAGTTGAGTCCGCAATCAAGGACGTCAAGATGACAGCATCAGCTATTCAGCTTGGCTCTCCTTCTCAGGACCCTATCATCACTCTGCACCTGGCCATCGCCGCGCTCAACTCAACCGAGTACGTCAAGGGGTACTCATCCTTCCAGTGGTGCTACGGCAAGGACTACTCCATCACCGATGAGGACGTGAGAACCTTTGCCACACTTCCTGAGTCGCCCGACGACTACGCACGTCTAGTCCAGCTGCGTCAGAATGCTGAACAAGTAGCACGCAGAACCCGTGCCCTTCGTGTCCTCTCCAAGCTCAGCAACTCGACTGTGAGACAGCCCATCAGGACCTTCCATCCCATGCAACTTGTGATGGTATGGCGCAAGCAATGGCCATCCCACGTTTACGTTGGCAAGCGAGGCGGTGCCCGAAAATCCGGACGCCCACACTGGATTGGTCCTGGCCGAGTGGTGTTTCATGAGATCCTTCCACATCAACAACCAAGTGACGCCCGAAGGCACATCGTCTGGGTGCTACTGCAGAACCAGCTCCTGCACTGCTCTGTCCACTCCGTGAGACCTACCACGCCCCTGGAAGAAACCCAGTTCAAGATCAGTGCTAAGGAAGACGTCTCTCGGTGGCGTTCCCTCTCCGACATGCTGCCCAACAAGGAGTTCATCGATCTTGCCGACGATGAACCCGGAGTCAATGAACAAGAGCAGCCTGATCTGCCCGATCTCCCCAACAAGGAGACCATCGACATCCCCAAGAGGCGGATTCGTGTGAAGTCCGCACCACTTCTGGTTCCTCCACGCCCTGCTCATGTACCCTTCATGGCGGACGACCCGGACTACACCCCCGAATCACTTGACAGCTCTATGGGACCATCTGCTGGCCCAGAAGAGGCTGTCAAGGGCCTCATGCAGTCCATTTGTGGCACAGGACCACTGCACCGTTGTGGAGATTGATCAATCCGCTCGCCCGTATTTCCGCTACGGGAATGGGAAGTGGGGTCAGGCTCTTTATCAGGTCACCCTCCACAATAAAGGATCAGGGACGCCCAAACAGTTCAAGGTCTATGCCCTGCCCAATCCACCAGAGCTACATCAACCTGGTTTTGACAGATCTATGCTGGTTCCTATCCTGGTTGGAATGGATCATCTGGGACCTCACGGGGCTGGTATGATGATTGATTTCTCCACTGGCATGACCCTCAACAGTTTGGAGAGTGACCCCAAGCCATATCCTTTGCGCCACAACCACAAGGGTCACTATGTGTTGGACATCAGACAGTTTCTCACCAACGGTCTCAGCAATGGTAAGGGCCACCCCAGGATCCATGCTCGTGGTGCCGGGCAACGTCGTATCAATGATTGTCAGGTTTTGGAATTCCATACACTTCATGTCCAACTGGATTCCCCAGAGCATGATTGCCTGCACGTTGAACATGCACCACCTGACACCCGGACAGTTGCACTGATGATGCGGCTCCGTAGCGCATCTGCTCAGATGTTAGCTACCCAGGTTACCAGTGACACCCCAGTCTTTGGTACCACCTCCGAGTCCCATGGCCTACACGACCCCGGTTCCGACCGCGGACGACCTGGAGACCATGGACCTGCTGTCAAAGATAAAGGAGGCGGTCCCAAAGAAGAAGGGTGTCAAGGAATTCGACGAGACCCGCAGTGTCCCCCTGGATCCTCGGGACCCTCGAAGTCATCCGGACCAGTGGCCATGCTTCGCCCGACATCTGCCGGGCAGCTACGGAAGCAATGCTCATGGCAAGTGGAGTCATTGCCAAATATGCAATCTGAGGCTGTCCTACATCCCTCGCAAGGGCAGCCCAGCCAACAGCACCCAAACTCACAATCCCGGCATGGTGGCGAGGATGCTGAA